CGTGGATGTAATAATTGTTAGTCGTGGATGTAATAATTGTTAGTCATGTTGATGTAATAATTGTTAATCATGTGATGTAATAATTGTTAACCATGTGTGGTCTTGTGTGAACAATAATCATTCTCACATCATGAACAGTTTCTCAGAATCACCTCTAAGTGTCGCCAATGGAACCAGAACCACAGAAACGTGCGTACACCAGCCCTGGAGTTGGCGTGGGGCTGCGCACATTTCCACGTTCAGTTGAGTTTTGATACATCCGGAGTTTTGCGTGGATAATGATGTACGCAAGGTTTTTGTGCGTACACACCGTTGATACATGAGGCCCCTGGTGTTTGGATAGCCATTAGTCTAAACTGGATGAAGACGTTTGCTTCTTTCTCTATACCTGTGCTATTATCAACGTTACAGCTCATAAGGTGATAATATGTATAAGACATGGCGTCACTTCAACATTAAATGGATATCCCTTTAAGAAGTGAGCCTGACAGGAAACCCAGTTCTTGAACAGAAATAAACTCTTACAATTTTTCCTTTTTATGATTATTTCGTCTGCCAGCTGCATAGACATGAAAAACAATGACTTCATATTCTGGAGATAGATCTATAAAAGGAAACAATGAAAGCGACAGGATATCTGGCAGGTTTATTGTGAGTCAGTCAAGCTACCAACTCAAAGAAAACAGACAAAAGGCTAAGACAGATTCACGGGGATCAGGCGGGATCAAACATTTAACTGACAGTCCCCACCAGCTGCGCTTTGTTGTGCTTGTTGAAGTTTAATTCAGCCCAGAAGAGAGAAGATGAAAGATTTATGTGACAACTGCAGCATCTTTAACACTGTAGATTCACTGGATGGGTTAGAGCTTATTGCTGAAGGCCTTTTATTTACTTAGTTCTGTTCCTGGTTTTATACGTCTGTAGASAGGCTGACGCTGCCTGAGAGGCCAGAAGAAACATAAAACATTACAACTGAAATTTGTTGCAAAACTAAATATTAACACAGAAAATGCTGGGAGCTCTGACATACCACATCAAAGTGAAGGATTTTATTTTTATTACAAAAACAAAATCATAATATTACCAGAATAAAGTCCTAAYATTTTGATAATTCCGACACGTAAAAACAGTCTTACCATCGCGTTAAAATGAGGAATGCTGAGCATTTTGTGGAGTTATACCTTACAGGTATACAGGTTACATTATATACATTACCTTACAGGTATACATTGTTAAAAATACAGGTTTTACAAATAAGGAAATTTGTAATGTTTTAACACATCAGCTGCTTTTTGGCCAAGACGGTCACATTATAGCTTGATAAGAATTTTTTTTCGCATTAGAATGAGTTTTTACTCATAGTTTCATGACATTCTTCCACTAATATTATACTACTATATATACTGTATATTAGGGGTGCAACAATACATGTACCCGTATCGAACCTTATTGAACAGTGCTTTAGGTTCAATACACACTTGTATGGAACAATACAGATTTTTAAAATTTACTTTATCAACATGTTTTCTGAAGATGCTCTGTGTTGAGAGATCAGTGGATCTGTGTTCGACTACTCCACCTGGGCTGCATTTTTGAGCACAGATCCACTGAGAAACTTGCTGTTTCACCAACATTTAATTTAAAAACTGTACTTTTGAGATTAAACAAATGTT